CCAAGGTCACACAGCCTGAATACAGGATCTATGTGATGGAGCCTGGATTTAAATCCAGGCATCTGGCTCCAGAAATAGTACTCATTCAAGGGAGACTGAAAAAAAAACAGGTCAATTATAATGAACATAATTTGGGAAGTACTACAGCAGTGCTCTTCAGTAGAAACTTTCTGCCATGATGGAAATGTCCTGTATCTTGTGCTGTTCAATATGGTAGCCATACGTGGCTATGGAGCCCTTGAAATATAGCTAGAGCCGCTGAGGAACTGGATTCTTCGTATTTTTAACATTTTAATTAATTTAAATGAAATTTAAATAGCCACACGTGGCTAGCGGCTATCATATTGGACAGCACAGATATAGAGACTTGAGGTCTAGGGAATGGTGGGAGCTGGCTCCTGAGCCAGCCTTGGGTGAGGGGAGTTCAGGGAAGGCTTCCTGGAGGAAGAGCCAGCAAAGCTGAAATCTGAATGACAGCCAGGTGGTGGTGGCTGCTCCAGCAGGTCTGGAGGTGAGGGATAGCCAACTGAGGAATGTGAGAAGAGGAAAGCGGGCTGGAGCAGCCAGTGGGAGGGGCTGGGAGGGCCTGGGGATGGGGGAGGGGCGGGGGACGGTGGGGAAAGAGCCCCACTAATGAAAGTCCTACAAGCCATCCTTATGGTGTTTGGACTTGACCCTGGGGGAGCTACTGAAGGGTTTTGAGCAGAAACCCTGCAGGCTTAGATTTCAGTTTTGGAAAGTGTAATAGGAAGAGAATATATGGGGACGGGGGGGAGCAGAGGTGAGGGAGGCAGGGGGACCCCAGAGCTGGCCAAAGTCTTCCTGATGGAGACTTTGAAGGGCTTGGGGATTGATCCGACACGGGGATGAGAGTGACAGAGGAGTCAGGGATGCTGCTGTCTGGAATCCTGAGTCTGGCTTTAGGCAGTGGAGGGAGAACACCTCCATCCCTGCCTGCGGGGATTACAGATCCCTGAGCGTGAATCTTAAACCTCTGCGGGAGGACCCACAAGTGGGGATGCATGGAAGCCAATGTATTTTGCTGAGCACCATTTATTCCCCCCACACCCTGCCGCCCAGAGCCTTCCAAAGGACGTCAGGAAGCATTCCCCTGCCTCCTGCCCTGATTCCACCCTTAGCATCCTTCGGAACTTGCCATGCTGATTTCCAGAGGCCCCACCTGCAGATCCCTTCCTCTATCACTCAGCACCGAAAGATCCCCATCTCTTGGGGGTTTTGAGGACCTGAGAAGAATCACACTTTGCCAGGAGTCCGTCCCCCTGCCTGACTCTGGGGAGGGCCGTGAACCTGATTCTGATCGCATCAGCTCTTGTGTCCTGAGCACCTATATGCCAGGCACTGAGCTTAACGCGTTCCAGGGCTTATCTCCCTGAAGCCTCAAAGCAACCCTTGTTTTTCCACTGAGGAAACTGAGGCTTGGATGGGCGGAGTCCCTTGGCCAGACCACCCAGCTGGGGCAGAGCAGAGACAGCAACCTCTCCCCCCGCAACCCTGAGCTGTAAGCTGTCCCTGAGCGGTCACCTTGCTGCCTTATGCTGAGCTTGGCACACACGGGGCACAGACCTAGCACGTACCTTGTAGCCGTCTGCAAGCTGCTGGGGACAAGGATGTCGAGTCCACCAGAGGCAGCCCCCCCAGGCCCCGACCTCTGGCCTCCGAATCCGACCCATGTGGTGGGTAAAGTTAGGGAATGGCCGATTCTGTGACAACTTTGAAAGCAGTAAGCAGCTGGGACCATGCTCAGTGACCACTTCCATTCCTGGGTCCCAGGGGGAATTCTCTTAAGGATACTGGGCGTCTGACCATGTCAGGTGACCTTTCAAGGCAAAGACATCCAAGCTTCCCCACCTGGGGACTGACTGAATCCCTCAGGCGTGCTAACGGCCACCCTCGCATGCTGCTATGGACTTGCAGTTTGGATGGACTGTTCCAAGGCTGCCTTGTATGTGCTACCCCTCCACCCTGCGATTCTCTGCCTAGGGAGTTCTCCTGTGGGAGTCATCAGAGATGTGTCACTTCAGCCCCAAGGATGTTCATCGTATGGTCGATTATAACAGTGAACAGCAACCTAAATGCCGCGACACTTGGGGATCGATTAAAGGAACAATGCTGTGTCGGGGCAGCGAACATTCTTCAGCCGTTAACCATGATGCTCTAAAGGAGTTGACCCAGATGAAATTCTGGGCAGGATTATGGCAGAATATGGTCACTAGGTGATGGGTGACTTTTAAATATTATTTTTTGTGCTTTTCTGTAATTTTGACATGTTTTGTAGCAAGCCTTTGTGATTTGGGTAACGAGGAAGAGGAATCTACAGGCAGTGAAATGAGGGTGTGTGAGTGTGGTTGTTTACCAGGGTGACTGAGAGGTTTATCCTGATTCCCTGGGGTCCTTGCACGTACCTCGCCCATAGTATCCCCTCATGGGGTACGCAAGTGTCTCCAAAAGGTGAGAGAAAGAGAATGAGGAAGGAGATGGGCATTTATGGGGTGTTTCCTGAATGTCAGGTCCTGCCCTTGGAGCTATCACGTGGGTCTTCTCATTGGCATCTTGCCACGTCCCTGTGCCCCAGAGAGGGAGACAAAAGCCCTGAGGTCACAGCAGAGCTTTTTCCCGAGGCTCCTGCTCACTCTGCAGGACCACACATGTTTGCTCTGCTAAGGATGGCTCCGAAGAAGCTGTGAAGAGGCGTGCTCCCCACTGGGAGGAAGATAAGCTACTGCAGGACAGTCTGCCCACCGCCACTAAGCACCTACTGGGTGCCAGGCAGGCTCTGGGTGGGGAGCAAAGGTGATGGAGTGTCCGATCTTAAAGGCTGCCTCAGCTGAGTTACAGAATCTGTGTAGTGACCCCCACCCCTGGTTCCCAAGTGCCTAGCACATGGTAGGTGCTCAGTAGATGTCTGTTGCATAAGTAACTTATATGTCAAACTTCACCTGGCACAAAAATGAGTCCAGAGTAGGCAGGGAGAGTGCAGGGGAAGGCAAGGTCACTGTGGGTTGTTGCAATGGCTTGGGGTGGGAGGGATGGATAGGAAGGGGGAAAGGTACAAGCAAAGCCACAGAGGCTGGAAGGTAAGGCTTGTGTGGGATGCAGTGAGTAGGTCTCGGTGGGTGGAATGGGCCTCTGTTTGGGGCAGGGCTAGGAGGTGGGACTGGACAGGAAACTTGGGGCTCAATTGCAAGGGGTGTTGGATCTCAGCAGGAGGACAGTAGGGAGCTGTGGGAGGTGTTTGAGCAGGAGAGGCATATGCTCCAGAGCACATTGCGGCAGGACATGCCTCCTGACCCCAGTGGGACACAAGGAGTGAGACGCTCCTGCTGCTGTTTCTGGAACTGGGGGCCAAGTTGTTCTCACCCCCTCGCCCTGTGACCCCCAACTCTCTCCATATTCCTCATCCACTGGCTCCAAGCCATCAAGAGATGGTGACTGGGAACATCCTTCAAAGCTCAGAAGCCAAGGCCATTTTTTTTTTTTT